ATTTTGGTTTGGAGTAATGAATTCTCAAAAATAAGATTGAGATTCAGCCCAACCTAAAAAATAAGGAAGAACCTACACATATTATGCTACATGATGTTAAACAATTGAGGAATAAACAAATTCCTATGGTAAAGTTTTAATGAAAGAACTGATCAAAGAAAGAATACACTTGGGAAAAAGAAGCATAAATAAGATGATTATATCCCAATTTATTTACTTAAATGTTGAGGATGACATTTTTTTTTTGTAAGAACGGGAGAATGTAATACCTTTAGATTCTAAGCTTGTATGATTTTTTCTTTCTAATTATAAAGCTTAAAATGCATTCAAAATGTTAAAAAATCAAAGGGGAATTTTTTTTCTTTGAAAGCATTGTGGTGTTGTCTCTAAGAGCATTACGACACTATAGTGTTTCCCTCTTGGTCCTTAAGAAATATTTGAGCAAGCACTGTAGCACCAAGGGTGACTACCACGAAATCAAACCCACTATTTGAGTGCATCTAGAGGAATCTAGAATATTCTAGTCAAGGAAATATGGAAGATTCTAGTCAAGCATGGTGACACTGCAAGTTTAAGCATCATGGTGTTGCCCACTAAAAAAGGTCTTTTTATGTAATAAAAATCTAAATCCATTAACAATTAACCTACAATCCCTCAACTTATTGGACAGAAGGAGGAGAGAACAAGAGGAAGAAGAGAAGAATTTGGAGGCCATTTTGTGAGGTTCGTCTGTCGAGACAATTAAGGGAATTATCGTGCTTAAGGTAGGCTCCCAATACCTTTTTTTTCAATTATGATGTTTCTATGAAAAGAAAAGAGTAAAAATATTTTTTAAAAAACTATAATTAACATTTCATTGTGTAACTTCTGATATGTTATAGAATTCTCGAATTTTTTGATTATTTTTAGATAAAATTGATAAATCTGATGTTGGCTATAAATCCTTAAAAATCTTAAAATGATATTTTAAAGTTTATATACAAATAACTTCATAAATAGTGAAAGTTAAAAAATGTGAATATAATATATCTATATAATTCTTTATATTGGGGTATACATGTGCTCATGATCATGATCAGTATCGTATACACTTATTAATTATGTAAAGCTCAACATGCATGCGCACTTATTACATATGTTCTAATGTGGTAAACTGACAAAGTGCATCATAAATTATGTTATACATAATTAGCTTTCTATTATGTTCTTTTTTTATCATGATCCCATCTGTCCAAGATCGATGTGGGAGTTCAAGGGAGGCATAAGAGGAAGTGGAGTTATAAGGGAATTCAAGATGACCTCCTTCACCTAATGGAGGTTGACTATGGGATGTATAAGTGAAAATAAAGTTATAAGCAGACATTGAGGCTATTAAATTAAATTTGTTGAATATAAAAGATATTATAGTAAATGAAATGAGCTTAAGTATGAAAGAATGTTCCAAAAATAAGTGCAATATGTTATTCCTACATAATTAAACTTTGATACTTTTGTGATGATATGAATGAAATCACATATTCCCTTCTATTCTGAAAATCAATATACTCTAAAAGCTATATAAAAGTATAAGAAAAGCATGAACCTATGAGAGTATAATCTTGAATATTCCAGAAAACTATTTAGTTATTTTCTATTTATTTAAACTTAACATTTAAAATCTTTATTCATAAATTACAAAAGGTGGATATTTAATTATGTAATAGGATTTTGGTATGCCTACTAGTTGAAATACTTATTCTATTAATGTTTAACATTTCAAGGAAAGGAAAGGGCCCAATAGGGTGTGTTCAAAGAAAGCTAATCAGATAAGACTTTCTATTAAGTTGCTCAAGTTTGTAATCCAATTTTTACATTAAATATGTAGAATGAAATTGTATTAGATTATGTATGTATAAATCTTTTAGAAATAAAATTTTGAAAAAATTTCTCCCAATTTAGACTCTTTTGGATCTTATAGAATGGCTCTGTTGTGTTATATTGAGGTTGAGAAATTTAGATTGAGGAATTCAATTCTTCCCTTAGATCTTGGGATTCCCAACATTGGCTAGCACTAACAACTCAGTATGTATCCTTGGTTTCTATAAGACACGTGCATATCTAAAGGGATAGTTTATTGGTTCTTGCATCATTATTGCCTACCTGATTGTAGGCTCAAAATCTTTCACTGCAAGCATCTCTAATTGGAACCTCATAATATGTTCCTTAAGGACTTAGAAGCTCCTATCTCACTTTCAAGAGAGCTTGAGAACTCTTCTGAGGTTTCTAGGCAATGGCAAATGGTGTCTCAAACATCTTTTGAACTCATAGAATGAAGTAATCACTCCTACTGGTAGATGAGTGAGCCACTTCTGTGTTGACTCCTTAAGGATTATGAAGAATATGTGACTCTTCAAAGCATCATAAATATCTAGGAGTTAGACCATAGACTAAAAAGTGTCGATCTAATCTACTAGGTCAATCCTTCTCTTGTATGACTCTAGATTTGTTACCTTGA